TATCACCCTACCGGATACATCCTATACGCATATATACATACATGTATATATATAATATGTGTATGTGTATATATATATATATATTTATATATTATATAGACATACAATGTGATATATATATATATATATATATATATATATATATATATATATAGAGGGATCTACATAATATAATCTAATAATCTCTATCTTTATATAACATAGAATCTGTATATAAATAATAAATAGAAAGTGTGAAGGAGAATAGATTATGGCGTTATTTTAGCTTGGTAAAACTTCGAGCACTAAACTTACCAACACGAGAGAACATTCAAGGTAATATTTTTTTTCTTTTCTTGTTTTTTTTTCTTCTTCTTCTTCTTCTTCATCTTCTTATTGTTCTTCTTCTTCTTCTTTTTTAAAGTGACAAGAGATGAACAAACAAATAAACAAAAATATACGAACGTGTAGAGAACAGTGAGATAACTAACAACGGGTGTGAATATACAGCTGATTCATTTGGCATAATAGTCTAAAGTGTTCTTTACTAGCGTAATAGAATGGTCAGTGAAGACCATCGATCCAAGCAGTGTCTAACGACTCGATCAGAGTACGAACAAAAGCCATTTCCTTTCGTGCATTTTCTAATATAACACGAGGATCTTGTGATGTACACCGTAAAATGTTTGGTGCCATTACCATTGCAAGATTATTTGCATCCATTTTGGTACGTGCTACTACTTCAGGCCTTGCAAAGATCTAAAACAAAAAGATAAATATATTTGTTTTTTTTTTTTAATTATTATTAATTCTGTTGCATTCTAATTATCAGTAATGCTTAAACAAATACTACATGTAAAATATTGTAATACTGATAATTAAAATGTAGAAAATTTATTTAACTTACCTGTAAGAATCTTATAAGGTCACACAAAACGCGTCGATTGAGATCAGGCAATCTATCAACGATAGCAGCTACGCTAGTTGCTGAAACTTGTGCATCATCATGACGCATCGATACGCACTCCGCATAAAAGGAGTCTGGTATCAAAGGTTCGTATAATTCGCGTACCCATAGCTTTAATAAGGAAGCAGGAGCATGTGCATCTTGAGAAGCTGCCAATATCGCGCCATCTTCAAATTTATCTAAGCAGGCCTTCAAAGCGCTCACTTCGTCGGCATCAGCGGATACCCGGAAAATACCTTCCGTTAATGTGCCACCACGTACCAATACTTGTCTTGTTAATGTCGTTTGTATCCACGGTAATTCACGATGTGGAAAACGATCTCTTTGCAATGCCATTACTTCGGATAGGGTTGCACCAAACATTGATGCACGGAAAATTTGTATCTATATCGTTTGAAATAATATAGAAATTATTCATATATAAGACAATTTTTTAAAATAAATTATTAAGAAAGTTATGAAATAATTACCCTGGCTTGATCGATATCTTCAGTGGTAGCCTTACGGGGCTGCCTTTTACCATGAGCACCAATTCGCTGAAGACGTTTACAGGCAACCGTTGCATAATGACTGACTTGTACATGAATTGGCCACTTAGCAACCTCTGGAAATTGGAAGTTTGGATCGCGGTGCCTATTCATGTATCCTTCGAGGTAAGGTTCAAAGGTAGCGCTAGGTGGTACGAATGCTAAACAAATAGCCATCAGTTCCCAGCCTCTACGAAGACTTTCTTTTCGAGGATTTTCTGTAGTCTGTCTACAGATTTGAACATACAACTCATCGCGTAAAGGTGGTTTAGAAAATGCTGTATTTACGATGTCCATAGCAACTCCGTCTAACGTCATACCAACGTTTGCCTTACGATCACCCATATATACTTGAACCAATCTAAACAAATTGCATGCCTCTCTTTTCAATAATTTTTCACCATCAACAACAACCAACATTGGCTGGGGTATAGGATCCTTTGACCAACTGAGAATATCACGGACACTGAATTTCTTTCGAAACAATAATCTTAATCCTTTTGGTCTTCCGCAATTCAAATTAAGATTGTCTTGAGCATATTTTTCGATATCACCACCACTGGTACTATCGTCACGACGTGCCTCATCTAAATCGGTATTATCGTTTCCTGTACCTACACTTGGTATAGAAGTTAAAGTGGAAGATGGTAAAGATACTGGTCTAACACACGGAACAACGCTATCTTGTGTTTCTGTTTGCGTTACTATAGTTGGCGAAGCTGGTGGCGATGGTTGTGGCCTTGTTAATGTGTCGGCCGTATTATAATAAGTTGCTAAACCAGCGGTATCATAGTTACCTAGATCTGTAATCAAATAATACAAGAAAATAATATAAATTGTTTAATTATAGATAAAAACTAATATGATCAATGATAATATATTAACCAGCATAATGATCTTCGAGATATTCTTGGCTAGACGAGTCACCCTGATTACTTGCTGCTTCGTCATCGGCAAACTGATCATCAGAATCATCGTCAACTCTTCCTCCTATACCTCCACTTCGTCCACCCTCTTCGTCTAAAGAATCATCACCCTCTTCTACTAACAATGGATCTCCAAATTTGTAACAACCTATAGAAATAAACACACAAATACATTACACACGACAAATTGGTAAGTAATACAAGAACAAAAATGTAATTACCTGATAACTTAGCTTGTTGAAGAATATAATGTTGAAGTGGTAACAAATGATCTGCATCTGATAAAAGATTTCCATAGAACGGAGATAACGGTGGACTTGGATTACCATTACTTCTCTTCTTCTTACTATCTTCCGTATCCAGATGTCCTTCAATATCTTCTCCTACAGCACTATTGCTACTGCTGTTGCTACTGTTGCTACTACTAGTGTTACTACTAAGTCGCTGTCTAGATTGTTCGTGACTTTGACTTATCAAATAACGCTCGTGCATGGCATCTTCGTCTCTATCTCTTCTTCTACTTTGCTGTTGTTGTTGTTGTTGCTGCTGCTGCTGTTGTTGTTGCTGCTGTTGCTGTTGTTGATGTAACTGTTGCAATTTTTGTTGTTGCACAAAACTATAACTACGAGCTAAAGGTTGCGATGTGCCTATAAATCAATCACACACAATCACAACGTTAGTATTTAAAAAATTATATTTTATATAAAAACAAAGTTGTACGTTTATGTACTTACAATCGAGCGAATTATTGCACGCTGTATTTCTTCTATATTCCTTTTCTCTATCACGATCCCGTTCTCTTTCTCTCTCAGATACTTCCATACTTCTCTGTTTGGCTACATTAGAAATAATTCCTGTAGCTCTTACTAAACTCTTGGATGGATCATTTCTCTCTGCTAACATTGCTCCATACATATCACGAACATTTGCTTCTGACAATGAAGCAGAACATCCATAATGTCTTTTACCTATACTACCTGTAGTATCTTGTTTATTCATATTCCGTGGATGCATGGAACTTGGATAAAAGGCAGAAGTATTAGATTTGTCCAAACTATTAACTCTTTCTCTTTGATGCATCTCCCAATCTCTTTCTCTAAGGAAACGATTACTGCTTTCAACTAACGAACCATATTTTTCACCTTGGGATTTATAGCTATGACTTATTTGAACTTCTGGCGGACGATAGGGTGGCATTTCTTGCCTGAATACTCTTGATTCCATTAAAGAATCTCTATATGGAGAAGTACTTGGTTCAGGACCATAGGAACCTCTACTACTTTCTTTACCTACATTGTCAAAATATATTTGTAAGTAATAGATTTGTTTATATTATTTCATTTGATAAAACAATCTTAGAGAATCTTACCATTTTTGTTCTTTTCAAGATCCAAATTTCCTATTCTACCCTCGCGTTGTGCATCTGGGAAAGTCTTTTTCTTGAAGAGAGGAGTACTAGTTGAGAGAGACAATCCCAGTGGTGGTGGTTCACCCAATGATATAGACTTCTGATTCTTAACGCTTTCAAGTGTCCCACTTTTGTGACATCTACCTTCTAATGTGCCACTATGTTGTCTAGGTGAAGATTGAGCATGTGTTGGAGGAGGTTGAACCGTAGTTCGATGATGATGACGATGCGGAGAATCTAGCAATCGATACCCTGTTGATTCTAAAGATGTGCGACTATGGGAGACAGAACTATCACTGGATCGACCAGAATCTTGAGAATGATTATGTTGTCGTCTAGTTGCTGGTACTTCGTGATGTCTATGATGCCGATTATTATGATGATGATGGTGATGATGATGATGTCGTCTTGAGGAAGGAGATGGAGATGGTGGAGATGTTTGCATATCCACACCGATGCCAGATGTTCGAGATTTACTAGCACTACCAACTTGCTATCGAAATAAAAATATAACCATCAATATATGAAGAATATTAAACAAATACTTTGACATAGAAATATTAATCTTACCAATGTAACAGATAAATTAGGATTGTCTTGATGATTAAAACGCATTGAACGACTAACAGGTGTTTGAGTCTGCGTAGACACAGACTCTTTCTTTCTTGGCTCTGCATTCTTTTGGATATCACTTCCACTACTACCAGCTGGTTCTGTATTCTGCTTTAATGTCTACAAACATCAAATTTATACAAATTAAAAACTTGTTAAATAATGTAAAGTATTATCGAGTGGATCATCAAATTTTTCACCTGCAGTTTTGCTAAGGGTATAATGTCGCAATCGGTTGGACGATGCCAGACAGTTTTCTGAGATGTGGCATTATAGTAATAAAACCTTGACGTATTCTGATCAAATAATTCCCACCACTGATTATTATCCGTCTTCTTCCTATAAATTATTCATAAGTGTTAACTCTCTCTCTCTCATCCTCTTTCTTCTTCTTCTTTCACTTTCTGATAAAAAATAATCTCTTACACTGGTACACCAGGTGGTGGATCCCATACACATTCTCCGGTGGTAAGGTTGGCATACATATGCTCCTTTGTACGTGGTTCTATGATTTCGACCCATTCCATCCTACTGTAATTATTCGTAATTAAGATATTACATTTGGTGTTTATATTAAAAGGAATGAATTATGAAATCATTTGTTTCATAAAACTAAGAATAAAGTTACAGGCACATTGTCATATCACTTATCATTCAACAGTCACTAGGAATTTGATTTAATGTGATGCTAAGTTCATTATTAAAACAATTGATTTAAAAGATGAAAAGTTCAGCATCAATTAAGAACTTTATTATTAAAATGTAGACAAAATATTGAAACTAGAATTAATCTGAAGAGATCAAAGGATTTGCAAATGACTTGAATAAACCAATTATAAATACACGAAACTGAAGCATGTTAAAAAACGAATACTTGGAAAAGCAAATATGTGAAAAACCACAAACGAGATATATAATCTATTAGTCACTTAATTTCCAGAAATAAAAGCTACGATATAAAAGTAGAAAAAAATTATTGAGGGGGGAAAAAAAAAACGAAAAATACAGAAACGTAAAAAGAAGCAAAAGAACATTCGACCCCTATTGTTAAGATCATAAATTGATAGGAATGCTGGTGGCATTACAAGCAACTGCCTGATGTCATGTTATCCGTTTAATTGGCTAAAATAGGCCGCGGAGAGTCATTCGCGCGTAGATCGTGTACGTATAGTCGCGAAAAGGAAAGAAAGAAAGAAAAAAAAGGAGGAAAGAAAGATAGGGAAAAGATAAAAAAAAAAAGGAAAGTAAGAGATGAAGATGAAGATGAAGATGAAGTTGAAGATGAATATGAAAAAGAAGAAGAAGAAGAAGAAGCAGAATCAACGAAAGCGCGAAATGGTGAAAGAGAAAAAAGGAAAGATAACGAATAGTACGGTGCAGTGCGCAGAAAGAGAGTGAGAGCTAAGAGGCGCATAAAAATGACACAATGTATAAAAGACAATAAGTAAATGTTGGTTGGTTGAATTGGTTGGTTTGAGGGGGGACCCGCCCAATATCTTAAAAGAAACGTGAGAATGATTTAAACTAAATCACATATAATAATGCGAAAAATTTGTCTAGAGTAAAAACTGGGACGGGTCAGTGGTAAAAATTCACTATCGATCTGCAGCAAACCATTCGAGCTAAGCATACATACATTATATCGTTATGTGTAACTAGAACGTTTACGAACTCTTTCTCTTTAATCATGTATTTAAAATAGAAATATATTTTACCCGTCCGATGCCATTTTTTAATGATTCTTCTTAAATTTATTAAATTAACTGTATCACTTAACGTCACTACGTGACACTTCATAAGAACAACAATGACACTTCGACGTTGCAACGTCCCATTTCCACGAGCACGAGCGACGCACTCCCTTCATGGCAGCCTACCGCGGCCATCTTAATCCTTGCAATCAAGCCAAACTTCTCTCTACCTTATTTTAGATAACACAAGTATACTCTTACATACTATTTTTTTTTCAATCCCTTCATAGATATTCCTTCTTTAACATATATACATTAAGAATAATCATTTGTTATTTCATTTATTTATCATTCGATCTATTTTAATTTTATATTATGGTTAAATTAAATATGCGAATGTGTATCCATCGGAATAGATAACTAACTACTGTATGTGTATATATATATATATATATATATACGTATATGTATATATATATGTATGTATATATATTATCGTCGTTTGTTCCAATAACAATGCGAATCTATTTTTTTTCATTATGCATTCTTATTTCTCTTTTTACTCTCTTTTTTTTTTAACTTATATCAAAATTTTAATTTACTCATCTATACAAGTAAAAATAATGATTGATAATAGACATTGTATTGTCTGTAATAATTTATTACAAACGTCATCTTCAGACGTGCGATTATGCGAATACCGAATTTGGTATAGGTTAGAAAATACTGGCATCATATTTTCTTTGATACAGATACCACACTAATAAAAATAAAATTACATATCATTCGTCGAATTAATCCTTCTATTTTATTTTTTCTTTCTTTTTTTCTTTTTCTTTTTTATATGTTTACTTCGTATCGAGTATTGATCGATCGATCTATTTAAAGCATACATTTTTTTAAATAAATAATATTAACCATTTAGAAATCATACATTTCTTGTATAACGTATAATAATGATTTCATTGTATTAATTGTAAAAAAAAAAAATGCAATTGAATATCTCTTATGTGTTTTCATTAAAAAATAAAATCATTTCTAGATAATTGTTGTCAATAAAAATAATTAATAAAATTATTAATAAATTAGATAAAAATTATCATATTGATAATATTCAATTAAATAAAAATGATAATAAATTTATGTTTATGTATGTGCAAATAAAAGAGAGACATTTATATATAATTATTAAATTAATTATACGAAGAAAATTGCAATAAAAGAAAAAAAATTGCATAACATAGTAAAGAAAGTTTTGGAAATGCAAGTGGCAATCGTTGCGCCATCTGATGAACGATTGGGAAAGTTAAAGGAATCTTTATCATAGAAGGGAGAATTTCTATTTCTGCAGTTACGTTCTTGTGTGTCATCGTATTAATTTGTGACGCGTTTATGTTGTTGATAATTGATACTTATGAAGTGCAGATATATTGTTGCATTATCAAAAGTCAATTTCGTGTCGTAGAAAAATAATACGACGCAAACGTTCAAGAAAGTATAGTTAAATATACATCATGGATGATCATAACATGGATCAAAATATTTTAACAGTTCTTAAACTTCTTATGATAGGAGAATCTAACGTGGGTAAATCAAGGTAGATTTAAAGTAATCGTTTATATATATATATACATACATACATGTGTGTTATACATTTATATATATATACAATTTTTCTTGATAAGGTTAATTTACAATGTTAAATTAATTGATGATATAACGTTCATTATTTCTTTTGTATTTTGTATTTTTAGTATACTTTTAAGGTTCACAGAAGATGAATTCTCGGAAAATATGCGAAATACAGTTGGTATGGACTATAAAACAAAATATATCACAATCGATGATAGTATAGTAAAACTTGCTATTTGGGTTAGTTATTTGATATTAGTTACTTGTATAAATAGTATTATTCTGAAACCATAGGTGTGTACATGTTATATAAGGTTTTAATTGTAATAATTACATATGTATATATGTCTATTGTTATATAGGATACCGCTGGACAAGAACGATTTCGTACTTTAACACCAAGTTATTATAGAGATGGACAAGGAGCTATTCTAGTATATGATGTTACCGATAGGAATACATTTTTAAAACTAGATACATGGCTTAACGAATTAAATACATATTGCAATAAAACAGATATTGTTAAGATGATAGTTGGTAATAAAATAGATCTACCTAACAGAGAGGTAAGCAATGAAGAAGGTTTACAATTTGCTAGAAGACATCAGTCGCTTTATATCGAAAGTAGTGCTAAAACTGCGGATGGAGTTAAGTGTTGCTTTGAGGAGCTCGTTCAAAAGGTAAATTACAATGATTTATTGTATATTAATCCCTTAAACACGAATCCTGCTGTTCATGGCAAATTTTATGAACTTATTTTATTAAGTATTTCATTGTGAATATGGCATGCAGTTGCATATGTTAAATCATAGTGCAATGAATTAACGATATAAGTATATTGATATTTAATATTATTTATTAATAGATATTGCAAACTCCCGGTTTGTGGGATACTCAATCGCAAAAATATATCGATAATGGCAATAATACAACTGGTGCGAGATATCGAATGGGAAAAAGAGGATTACAATTGACGGATGGTTACGAACCACAAAATTATTCATATTCGCGTTGTTATTGTAGTATGATTTAAGTGGCTGTGATAAAGAAATTCTTTTGGTAATGATTGTAATCATGATGCCTACTGTATGGTATGTTGTTTATTTAAACAACAAGAATAAGTTATAATGAATAATTAATAATACTGTAAATCATTGTTAGAATTATATTAAATTAGATAAAGAAACAAACATACACCTTTCACATCTGTGAACAATACAAACAAAATGTGCTAACAATTTTATTATAAATTAATCATTCACATTTAACGACGAATTTAAAAAAATATCATCAATTTATAGTTATATATTGCAGGTGTACAAAAAAATCGGACGTAGGATGAGCCAAGAATGAAAAAGCTGATGCTTTGAACCATTAATAATAATAATAATAAGCTAGCCAAAGCTCTGTTTATTCAAATATTCTAAATGAACAGCGTTTAATTTATTTCCAAATTATTCATCAAATAAATATTTATCTTAACACTAATATCAATTTTTTATCACAGACGCTTGATCACTTTTTTTTATAGAGTCTCTTGCTTTGTTACATTTATACACTTATATAAAGTTTGTTATGTGCCTGATATAAACGTATGTCTATTATCTATTAGAAGAGCATAAAATCTTTCTTTCTTTTATAATGATCTGTCTTTTATTACTTGCTTATAATTCCAATACCTATAATGCACATAATTCATAGAAGATATATTGATCCAAAAGCATTAAAAAACTAAGTGGAATTATACTCGTACAAATAAAATTTTCAAAATAATATATTATGGTCATTGTCTTATACACAAGTCTATTGTAACTTATTGTACTTATTTGTAAATAAAGCATTTTAAATATATATTTATATTACATACTACTATATTAAAATTCAGGGTGTTACTTGTTTACTTGATAAAATTTCTATTTAACAGATATCACTATCTTACTTTCTGATATTTCAAAGGAATATTTTTATTCTTAAATATGTTTACATATATTGCCAATATGATGATGATATTTGTATCAGTTCTACACTTGTTATTTATCGAATATGACTTTTAATTTTCCAGAATTGCAAATTCAGTCAAGTATATGGATATTCAATTAGAGGACACCCTGTATATAATCAGAGTGTTAACACAATTTGATGTTCAATTATTTTTGAATTTCGTTAGGAAATTTTCTATAAATTTCTTGGCTATATATTTACAAAATTAGTTAATCTTATATTATCAATATTGTAAGACAAAATAGAAAATAAAATCATGTCTAGTGAAACAGAATACGAAGAAGATGATATATCCTCGTGCAATTCAAGTAAAAAGTATCTTTCTCCAAATGATTATACGGTAACAAATCAATATTGTGCTTTTAAACCATTCAAATGTTCCTGCTATGAATATCTAGAATCCACAAATTTAACGTTAGTTATAAATTTATAATATATATTTATTCAAAGTTTTTATTAGAACTATATTTGAATTCTTTTTCTCTCTCTCTATATATATATACAGGCACAATAAAGTGTTAGCACTCATCTGGGCATTGAGCAGTGTTTTAAAATACAATCCAACTGATCCAATATATTACATATCATATCAATTATTACGTTGGAAATATAATAATGTTCCAGAAAAATATATGAAAGAAGTCATAGATTATATGAATTCACAGTTATAAAATTTTTCTTAAAAATTTCATTTATTTCACAATTATAATTCGTTACAAATGTGTTAGAACAAGTTCGTTTTAGTGCAAAATTTGCATAAGAGTATTACATAGAAAAAAATGGAATGGTTAAATACCGGACATGTTACAATAAAAAAAAAAACAATATATTTTAACACATTTTGGCAGTGTTCTTTACATTTTGTCTTGTAAAATCTAAAGTAAGTTTTCTATAAGTTTCTATATATTTACGATGAAAAACATAAGTAAAATTAATACTCTATTGCATTTAAAAAGTCTTCTTTTTAAAATAAACATAAAAATAAAAATAAAAATAAAAATAAAAATAAAAATAATAGAAATAATAATATTAATAATAATATTAATAATAATAATATATATTAATAAAAATAAGATAGATAATATTAAATAATTGTGCTGAGATGAGAGATACAAGGGATTCCAAATAATTGTGAATTGTTATAAGTCTAAATTTTGGAATGCCTTGTATAATAATACAATAGCCAACAATATATAATGTTAACTGAAACTTCACTTCCTATATGTCATATATAAAATAAGATAAAAGAAGTTAATTTTCATTAAAAAAAAAATGGTATGACAAATAATGCTGGTTTCAAGGAAGCTATCATATCTTACAGGCTAAAATGAAATAAAATTATTGGTCATAGACCATAAATATTAAGTCGTTAACATATTGTTTATAAATCATTGGACATGTGAATTATTTAAATGTATCTCTATATACGTCATGTATTATATAGTACTTACATATGTAATATAAAAATTTCTATGGGTGCAATGATTCAGGTACTACCGTAATGAATCAATGGTATAGATTACAAGATTATAATATAAATTCACTACAATGAATGATAGAAATAAAAAACTTTCTTAACAATTTCCAGTGTTCCCAGCACTTTTTCTCATACAAATAATCACTTATCGCTGTAATTTAAATTTACAGCGAACTCCAATAAAATAGCAACGTATCAAAATATATTTTTGCATCTATCTGTTTGGTCTATATCCTGAGCTACTAACAGAAAGGGATTACTATTACAGATGAACTGTCATTTACAGATTAAGTAAAAATTGGAAGTACAAAGTAGAGTAATAGCTAAGTCTATGTTTCATATGGACGTATTTTCCAGTCTGCTAAAGACTTTGTCTCAAGGAAATGAGCATTTCTATGCTGCAACTGTTTCTGGACCCAAGCAAAGATAGCTTAAATCTTTTTACAATGCATCCCTGATGTTAGGCTGACCTTGTTTATTGGGATATGATTACTTACGTTTGAATATAGAATTAAAATATTCTTTCCAATGTTTGTTTGTATAATGGTTTGACGGTAAGCATTGTATATCCCCATGTATTTATCAATCCAAATAATTATCTAATAATTAAACAGAATATACTGGAAGTTTATTAATTTTAGCTTTTTCCTCTTCAGTGTCATCTCGGCAGATCATTAATGTATGAGAGACGCCACAAGTAACAGCTGTAATGTATAAACCTTCTAGGGCTTTTACCTCCATAGGAGTAGTTGATGATTTGCGCATTTCACCAAAACCCTATATAGGTAGTATGTAACATATATTTTTTTAAATATAATAATACTATATAGAATTGAATTTTAAGCGATTACAAAATATTACTTACCAATTCACCAAAGGTGGGGCTACCTCCCCAGGCAATAACAGAATCATCCGCAGCAACAACTATACTACTTTGTGAACATCCAATACATCTGATTTCCCAACCTGATAAATCCTGAATAGGTTTCGGATACATATTAGCTTCTCCAGTACGTTTAGTCTGTCCAAACATAAGTGCTGAACCATGAACATTAATTGCAATACTGTAAGTACTACCACAGGCAACAGATCTAACACCTCGGTTAGGCGGCTCAAGAAACTTAATTAAACGTGGTACTAATTCATCTCTTTGTTCATTATGGCCTAATCGACCGATTCCACCAAATCCCCATGAAAAAGCACGATTCATACTGTCAATAGCAACTGTATGATAGTGACCACAACTGAAATCTGTGATTTCCACACGGTCTAATGGCGTAACATGACCATCTTTACCTCTCTCTACGTATAAAACGATTCGCTTAGGCACTTTCTCGAAGTGAAACGCCATCTTCGTATTAGTTATAAAATATTTTCCATCTGTGTTATGACCTAATACACCATATTCTGGACATCCAAAAGAGTGTAGGCCACCCTTAATATCTAAGATCATAGAAAATTCTGCCCCACATCCTACTTTTACTATTGGAGGTCCGGTATATTTAACTTTTGTAGCTTTAACAATACAGGGATCAGTTTTTCCTACCCCGCACTGTCCTAACTTATTGTCCCCGGCAGCAAATACTAAACCACGGCTGGTTAAAAAAAGTGTATGATTTCGACCGCAAGATGCTGCTATAATAGTGTGTCCCTTTAATGCTTCTACTTCGGTTGGTTCATCCCGACGTTTAGTATCACCAACACCCAATTGACCTACAATTCATTGACAATATAGATTATTCAATATGATTTTAGATAGAATTTAAACACATTTTTTTTGCTGTAGAATTCTAAAAAAAGTTAATTACAAAACTATAATTGTGATATTTACAGTGATTGGCCTAACAAATACTCAAAGTTATGAAATAATGTTCACATATGATATTATATACAATAATATCCTGCTAATCCAGCGCTACAAAAATCTCTGCGGATTTGCAGGTAAAGTAATTATGACTTTAAAAAATAAAAAGTAAGATATTCAATGATCAATTTACCTTTATCATTTTTACCAAAAGTCAAGCATCTATTATCCTCAGTAACAACAATATTATGAGAGGCAGCAGGTCCGGAAGCTATCAGTCTGATACGAGCTCCATTTAAATTTTTAAAAGTATGCGGTGTCCACAAACTACGTCCAACATTAGTCTTGAGTGATTTGGGAGGTGCTTTACGTCCTGCCATTTCCCAATTGGTTAGACCACACATAAGCAACGTACCAGGCTTACCCCAGCCTCCCTGTAACAGAATCAAATAAGAGCATAATAATAATCAGTGATTATATTAATTATTATGCACCAATTGTTTCTTATCAGAATCCAAATGGATTGATGCAAATTAAATAGTATATTTGCATTTAAATTATGCATTATTACAGGGATCTGAAATGTTACATGCTTATTGTTGATGGCCGTTGTTGTTCGTTGTTGTAGGTTTGTTAAAATCCATCGTATAAAGCCACCTCTATTAATTTTCATATTCATGACCAGAGGATAAATGTTGTGTTTATTACGTACTGTTAGTTCGTTGCCAAGGTTCGTCGTTATCAACACACGCACACACACACATAGTGAGTAATTCTTCTAGCACCGTTAGGAGTACCATCGTGTATTATTCATCAATATTGTGTTACCTGAGGTAAATATTGAAATGAGATAAATAATAAATAAAAAAAGTCACCTCTGGCGACGGCAGCTCAGGTATATTGGAGACATCGGTAAGATCGTCTTCGGCAGCGTCCTCACCGTCGACATTAGTGCCACTCTCGGCGTCCTCAACATCGGATTCGTGTTCGCTCGAAATATCCTCCTCATCGTATTCAACTTTTTTAGATTTTGACCGACCCTTTTTAACCGTCGCATTTTTTCTCTTAGACATATCGGCACTACACCAAAATTTAACTAATTAACAAACAAATGTTGTATTCAACCTCTCGTTTTTTTTTTGTCCTTATTATAGCGCGAAAAAAAGGACCAATTTTTCTCGACAAATCCGGACCTACCCTCGTGACATTTATCGATGCAATGGCGTTCAGTAAATTGCACCGCTATACGAATGGCCAGCAAAAACGCGGCCACCTGGCGCTCAAAAATCATAATAAAACCATGCTCGAACGATAAGTACAAAGCAAACCACGGTTTATGATTGTAAATCGCCGAAGGCGCGCTCCGCGTTCCCTCGATTCCTAATTTAGGGAACGCGGAATTCTTCATATTTTTGGTTCGTTTCCTATCCATCCAGAGTTATACGAATTTTGAATTTTCTTCTTTATATCGAATCATTTCTTATTTTCGATTAATCGATCGAGATATTTATCCGACATTTTTCATTTTTTTTTTTTTTTTGATATTTTTAAATTAAAATAATATATTATATTTCATGGCAAAGATAAAATATATTTATTAACTTTAATTTGTTGGCTAAATAATATTTTTTTTTTATTTTAATGGTATTAACGATTTTTTTTTTAATGTTTAAAATCTTTGATTTTAAATAAATCCGCGAATTTGTTTAAATTTGATAAATTTAACTTGTCAATTATTTTTCGTATTGTTATGTGACAATTAACATTAATCGGCGCTTTTATTTTTTTTTATTTTTGCATTAATTTCAACTGGATGATTCGAATAAATTTGTAAATGGAGGATCTTTTTCGAATATTCGAGATCTCGAATGTCTCGAATAGATCGAGAATGCAGATTTAAATTTTTTCAATATTCAATATGTAATTTATAATTATTATTTAATATTTTGAACAATTCATCGTATAAAACAATAAATAAAAAATTATTATTAAAATTGTAACAAACGAATAACTTTAATTTTATAAGAATTACGTGTTTCTCGTTCATTTGTTTATTTTAAATCAATGCAATGACCATATAAAAATAAAACAAAGTGAGGTAAAAATAAAAATATAATATAAATAAATAAATAGGACTAATCATTTCTTCCTTTCAATTTTCTTAAAAAGCTATGCATTTTTATTGGCAAAGCTTGGCGCAACATACATTCTCAGCAAATTATAACAAACAAACAAACGAACCAACAATTGTTTCCATTAGTTACGAATAATTTTTTTTTACTCTTTTTTTCCTTCTTCTTTTGTGTGTTTTGTAATTTTTGTAATATTTTTCGGCGCAGATAAAACAAAAATTGTCGTAGAGATTTACAATGTAATTTTCTTATTACTTTGTTTCACTTTTCTTTTTTCTTTTTTTTTAACTTTTTCATTTTCTTTTTCTTACTTATTTTCAGTAACGGACGAGTAAGTACCATTATGGTGTACTACGAACTGTATCAATCGTCCCTCTCTCTTTCACTCTTTTTCTCACACACACGCACACATACACATATACACACTGTGACATACATATCTTCACACTTACGCATACCTTTATTTCTTTTTTTTTTTTTTTTTAAAGCAAATAATTATCGGACGTTATTATCCGTTAACGACCAAGCGATCAACGCGATTCTAGCGTGCTAATTTTAATCAAGATCGGTGCTAAATTACAGGATTCATTTTGTAAGAGAGAGTAAAAACGTACAAAATGTCGCTAACTCGAATTCTCGATGAATTAATTGAGATTAATGATGATTATAATGATGATGATGATGATGATAATAGTAAATATACGAATAATATCGTAATAATAATTATGATCATTACAAAAACTTGGATTTCGTCAACTTGATTCGAGACTTTCGAGATAGTTTATAGTTTAGATTATAAAAAATTGATATAAAATTATAATTATAGTTATGGCATAGTTATTAGTTATTTTGTGATTAAGCGAGGAAGAATTTTACGTGTCGTGCGTTTGACTGACGCGTTGAGACTTTTTTTTTTAATCTTTTTCTCATTTCTTTCCTTTTGTTTATTATTATTATTTTTTTTTTTGGGGGAGGGGGTTTGTTAATTATTTAATATTTTGGAAAGTTCACTTCGCGTGGTGGTTCACCATTTTCGACCATCCAAACGCTGCCGCTTTTGCCGGTACTCAAAATATGAATCAACGCTTTGGCAACATGTTCAGCTCTGTAAATAAATATATTATTATTATTATTTTTTTTTTTTAAAGATAATATTTCTGATATTAAATTCATTAGAAAATAAATTACATGCGTATTAAAATCATTTTGATCGTAATTATTAAACCTGTCATGTAATTTTTGCTAAACTTAAATAAATTTTATTGATATATATATATTATTTTTAATTAAATAATAAATTTTGTTATTTGAATTTTACTTACTTTTGCGGAACAATAGAACTGGTATCTCGACTCCAAGCTTCCTTGTATCGTAATGAAAGTAATTGTTTACCAATATCTGGCACCGAATTACTGTCAGTTGTACTTGGACAAAGTGCCATCACTTTGACACCCGTTAAATCCACGTGATACTGATCCTATTTAATATAAACGATACAAAATATTAAATTATTTAGAATAAAACCAAAAAGTAATTAACACTTTCGATAAAATTTCATTTAAATATTTACTTACCCCAAATGCTCTGGTAAGACTAACGATTGCTGCTTTTGTTGCCGAATAAATGGGCACGCTTACACAGGGGTTGATACTAACGTTACTTCCGATATTCACGACTACACCACCTTGTCCACCTTTGTCCGTGCCCATAAATCTTTGGGCAAGGAGAGTACCACGTATCACGCCATTCTAAAAAAAGAAAAAAGAAAAAAGAAAACAAGACAAATATTTATGAGTTCAACGTTGTTCTAAAACATTATTTAATAATTATTAATATATTAATAATAAAACAATAATAAATAATTATTTTCTTTTGAATATTTGATGAATAAATTATAAAAAAAATGAATTAAGGAAAAGTGTCGATTTAACAGAAAAGTATTAAAACGTTTTAATATCCGGTATTAAATTTATGCAACGTTTCTTAATTTGTACGCTACATTTTTGCAATATGTAATATAATACGTTTATCAAGTGTTTTTGTAATTTTATCCAAGGAATTTGTGTCAATTAATTATTTATTTTATTTTTATAAACTTACGAGATTGATGTCAACTTCGAGCTCCCAAAATCGATCGTTCATTATACCTGCGTTGTTGATGACAATATCGATTTGTCCAAAAGCAGCGATCGTTGTTTGAAACGAAGCTAAAAACAACAAATTAATCAATGAATTAATCAAGAAATAATTGAATTATTAAATGACAATTTTTTATAATTATAATTATTGCTATTATTGAGTAAAACGTACTTTCAAATTGTGGGTAATCCGTGACATCGCATGGGGAAAATATCACCTGAGATTTTCCATATTTCATGGTCAATTCTTCAGCCAATTTTTCACCTTCCGTAATATCGATATCACAAATCGATACCTGCCGATAAAACAGTGACAAATAAAAATGTTTACTCGTAATGACAATAACAATAAGATAATCATTTTTATAAAACGTTATCTTTTATACAAGATATTTTTGTTTGTTTGTTTGTTCAAGCTGTTAGTTATCAATCAATCGTTCAAATGATCGAATCAATCGTTAAAAAAATATTTATCATGCAGTATTTTTAATTTATTCTAAAATCTTAGTAAATATTTTTTCTAAGATATCAAAATATTTAATTAAAAAAGAAGATAAGTAGTATGATTATTTATTTACCTTAGCTCCTTGATTCAACAATTCGATGGCATAAGTTCTGCCGATACCGGAAGCAGCCCCCGTCACCAGGGCAACTAGCCCTTTAACTTCCATCCTTTGATTTAAGAATACTTTCTTAGTCTTGAATTTTAATCCTTATCCTTAAACAGGAAGCAACAGGGTATATTTATCAATATAATAAAATTTATCATTAATAATTCGTGAATTGGGATAAAAAAAATTATTTGATAATGAACTTAGGTTAACGATTGATTGTATTGTTGATTTTGAAACAAATATTTTAAATTTTAACGCAATTATTTAAATTAGATTATTGATTCATAATTTAAAATTTTATTTTTTTTTACTGACAATGAGATGCTATTTTATTTTTTATTTATAATTTATTAAATATTACAAAATAACAATAAGATTAAAAATGATAAACAATGAACACTTGGGTGCGACTAATTCGATAATGGTGGTTAGGTTTGCTGGATTATCACGGGACAACGTAGTATCGATTAGCAAATATTTGTTTCTTCTTGAATAAAGTATTTTTTTTTTTTATATTTTTATATTTTTATTTATTTCTTACAATAATATATAATATTTAATGCTATTCTTCGTCTCAACTACTTTCCTATACAATGGAAAATAGCACAAATTATCCTAATACAAAAACCAGGTAAAGACCCTCAACATGTTACCTCATATAGGCCTATTAGTTTGCTCTCACATTTATCGAAAGTACTAGAAANAGTTAAGGTTAAATATATAATATTATATTTTTGTTACATTAAGATATACGTCATACATGTGATATTAATATTAAGAAGGTATTAGCTATTGAGCGAAATACCTGCATGTTATTCTTGTACTATTCTATTTTTACCAACAAATTTGCTTATTGTTACTTTGTAATAGATTGCAAATAAACTCTCATATATAAAAAAAAAAAAAAATATTTTTATTTATAATCTATTATTATCTATTATAAAAATTATTAACGATGAATTAGTTAACGATTGATTGTTAGCTTCTTGTCAATGTTTATTGGATTACTAAATATTTGTTTCTTCACGAGATGAAATATTTTAAATACCAATACAATTTTATAAAATTAATAAACTATTATATAAAAATCAGATCTCAAAAAATCACTGGCAATGAACTTGATTCGCGATTGATCGGACATTGTTGACCTTGAGACAATACTTGTCAGATTTTAACGAACAAAACGAAGTATCGATTGACAAACTTTCAATTAAATTTTCACGAGATAAAAGTTACACAATATTTATTTTATTTATTATAATATATTATGAAAAACGTTCGGTTATATGATTTATCATAAAAGAGAAAAGATAAAGAAAGAGAAATCAGGGAAAAGGGAAGCTTGTAGACAGCAAAACCATCGTTGAGGGTGGAACAAAAGCTACGTCTACTATTTGATTTTCTCACTCTTTCTCTTATTTGTGATCTCTCTCACTCATTCGTTGGTTTTATGTCGTAAGTAAAATATCAATATATATGTATATGTATTTGTGTGTCTGTATATATGTATACATGAGTCAGTGAATTTACTCTGAAAGCGTCGTTTACCGTACACGCTTACTTTTTCTTCTTCAACATCCCCCTCTTCTTGTCAATGTAACTCACTCTTCTTCCTCTCTCTCTCTCTATCTCTCTTTTTTTTTATTCTCCTCTCTTTCTATCTTCACCATAAATCCGCTTCAGAGGTTTTTTATTTTTTGTCTATCCCATGTACGAGAAATGTAAGTGTATGCTTGTTGTATGTGTTGTGTCTGGGTTGTATACGTGTGTAACTTTGTGTGTATGTGTGTGTGTGTCTGGGTTGATATGTGTGTGTGTGTGTGTGTCTGTTTTGTGAGAAGATACACGATGGTTTTTGGTTCTCAACTCTTTAAGCGTTTTACCACACGTATCACATGTCAAACATAACGCGCATATACTACAAAGTTTCTTCTTTACCATTTGACACGTGTGTGACTTTTTTATTTTTTATATTTTTTTCTTTTCTTTTTATTTTAAAGAACAAGGACTCACCAATTGAGATCTCCGTATTACATATATATATATATATATATATATATATATATATATATATATATATATATATATATAT